AAGCGCCGCACTGGCGTTCTGTTCGACGCCCCTTCCCCCCCCCCCATCACCCCCCCCCCCCCCCCCCCCTCCCCCCCCCCCCCCCCCCCCCCTCCTTCCCCCCAGCGGCTCGGCCGAGGCCCGCGCGGGCTGCCTGCGCGCTAGCGATGTTCAGGATGGCAACGCCGTGGCTGCAAGCGGGAGGCCGGCCCCCCGCGCGCCCGCGCGCGCGCCGCGGAATGGGCTCGCCCGCGCGCGCAGCGGAAGGGGCTCGCCGGCCCCCGCCGCGCCCCCACCACCCCGCCCCACCTCGCCTCCAACAGGGAGCCGAGGAGAGACCAAGAGGGGGCCAGAAAGAACCCATACAGAAACCAAGCGGGAACGGACTGGAATCACCGACTGGAAACCATACGCAAGCGGAAACGACACCAAGCGGAAACCAACTGGAAACCGAAAGAAACTATAAGGCTACAGACTGTCAACCGCTTCCGCTGGCCTTCCGTCGCCGCTTCCGCGGGCCTTCCGCCGGCGCTTCCGCCGCATCCTCGCGCCGCCCAGAGGCGCCCTGCGGTCGGGCCCCCCCCGCGCGTCGAACCGACGCCCGAGGCGGTCGCGGCGGTCAGCGCTTCTGCTCTTAGAACGCAGCGCGCGAGAGCGCACGCGCATTGAATTGCAAGGCGCAGCCGCGGCGCTCGGCCAGCTCGGGGCCAGCGGCGAGGCAGGCCGAGGTACTCCAACGCGACCACCTCCGCGGGCAACGGCAAGCGAGCCGCCCCCCGCTGCGCCGCGACGCGCCAGGTGGCAGCCCGCGCGGCGCCCTGCCGGCGGAAGCGCGCCATCTCGGCGCACGGGTCGGGCCCCGACCAGCGCCGCCAGCAGCGCGGGTCGTCGACCCCAGGGCGCAGGCGGGCGCGGCCGTTGCCGACGCGGCAGCGCGGCCAGCCTCCGTCGAACGACCACCACCCGCCCATGGTGCCGCTCTGGTCAGCCACCGACCAGAGCGCGTCTTCTTCGGCGAAGTGCACCCAGCGCACCCACCCCGATGCGGATCCTTCGGGAGGCGCATCCATCTGTATACAGAACCTCGCTCGCGCCCAGCCGGGCCTGCGCCCAGTCTTGCGCGCGCCCAGCCCAGCGCGGCAACGCCCGGCCCAGCCCCCCCCCACCCCACCCCCCCACCCCGCCCCTCTCTCCCTACACCGCCCCGGTCAATCCCAATACAGGCCCCGCGCCGGCCTGGCCAGCCCCGCACGCGTTTCCGACGCAACCCCTGCAAGTTTTCACCAATGCCCCACGCCGTCGCCAGAGCATCAGTCGTCAGAGCATCAGCCGAACGATCAGCAGTCGCCCGAGCAGCATTCGTCTGAGTAGCAGGCGCATGAGCAGAATTCGCCCGAAGAGCAGTCGCCCGAGCATCAGTCGCCCGGACAGCAGTCGCCCGATTATCAGTCGCCCGACCACATGTCATCAGAACACCATTCGTCTGAGCAGCAGCCGCCAGAGCAACATTCGTCTGAGCAGCAGCGCCCCGGGCAAGTTTCGCCCGAGCGACAATTGCCCGAGCATCAGTCGCCCGAGCACCAATCATCAGAGCGCCAGCCGTCTGAGCCGCAGCCGCCAGAGCAGCACTCATCCGAGTGGCAGCCGCCTGAAAAGAATTCGCCCGGATAGCAATCGCCCGGGCACCAGTCATCAGAAAAAAACAATCGCATGAGCAGCAGTCGCCCGAGCAGCATTCGCCCGGGCAACAATCGCCCGAGCGGCATCCGCCCGCGCAGCAGTCGCCTGAGCATCAGTCGCCTGAGCGTCAGTCATCACAGCATCAGTCGCCTGGGCGGCAGTCGCCCGGGCAGCAAACGCTCGAGCACCGGCCGTCTGAGCACCAGCCATCGAAGCACCAGTCATCAGAGCACCAGTCGCCCGAGCAGCAGACGTCTGAACTGCACCCGCCCGACGGCAGACGTCTGAGCAGCATTCGCCCGAGCGGCAATCGACCGAGCATCAGTCGCCCGAGCACCGGCCATCAAAGCATCAGTCGCCCGAGCAGCAGTCGTCTGAGCCAAATTCGTCTGAGTAGCAGCCGTCTGAGCAGCATTCGCACGAGTTGCAGCTCTCTGCGCGCCAGGTCGCCCGGGCACCAGCCATCAGGACACCAGCCGTCTGCGCAGCAGTCGCATGAGTAGCAGTCGTCTGGGCAGCATCCGTCTGCGCTGCAGCCGCCAGAGCACCCGCCCCCCGGGCATCAGTCATCAGTGCATCAGCTGCCCGGGCAGCATTCGATTGAGCAGCAGCCGCTTGAGCAACATTCGCCCGAGTCAAAGTGGCGCGAGCACCAGTCGTCCGAGCATCAGTCACAAAGCCCCAACCGCCTGAGCAGCAATCGCCTCAAGAGCATTCGCCCGAGTAGCAGTCGCCCGAGCACCATTCGCCCGAGCTTCAGTCGTCTGAACAGCCTTCGTCCGACCGACAGTCGCCCGAGCAGCATCCGCCCCAGCGGCAGTCGTTCGGGCGGCAGCCGCCCGATCGGCAGTCGTCTGACCGCCAGCCGTTCTGAGCAACCATCATCGCGGAGCATCAGCGGTCTGAGCAGCAGTCGCCTGGGCAGACGTCGTTTGGGTAGCAGACCGTCTGGGCAGCATTCGTCTGAAGAGCAATCGCCCGGTCATCACTTGCCCGAGCATCAGTCATCGGAGCATCAATCGTCTGAGCAGAAGTCGTCTGCGCAGCATTCGTCTGGGTCGCAGTCGCCCGAGCAACAGTCGCCAGAGCATCCGTCATCAGGGCATCAGTCGCCCGAGCGGTAGTCGCCCGAGCAGCATTTGTCTGAGCGGCAGTCGAACGAACCGGCGCGGGAGGCGCGACGCCCCGTCAAGCGCCGCGCATACGTTCTGCGCGGCGCCCCCCCCGCCCCCCCACCCACCCACCCCCCGTCCCCCGGCGGCTCGGCAGAGGCGCGCGCAGGCAACGCGCGCGCCGGTGATGTTCAGGATGACAGTGCCCTGGCGGCAAGCGGGGGGCGGGCTCCGCGCGCGCCCGCGCGCGCTACAAAAAGGGCGCGCCGGCCCTTCCCGCCGCGCCCCCACCACCCCGCCCCATCCCACCACTAACATGGGAACCAAAAAGAAATCACAAGGGAGCCAGAAGGCACCTAGAAAAGAACCAAGCGGGAACCACAAACCCAAGAGAGCGTTTCTTTATGTTCGGCGATAACGGGCGTCATGGGAAGGGGGGGCGGGGGGGGGGTTGACGTGACGCCCCTCCCCCCGCCATGTGGCTCCGGCACCACTGCTGCGTCCGCGCGCACGACGCGACGAGCGACGAGCGACGAGCGACGACGACGACGACGACGACGACGACGACGACGACGACGACGACGACGACGACGACGACGATGAGGTCGGCGCGAGCAAAATGCAGGTGGTGATATGCCCCACTGCGCCTGTGTACATATCGGGCGCGTGTACCACAACGCGCGCGTGTACCACAAGCATCAGAACAACCATCGGGACAACCATCGGGACAACCATATATAATCGATCTGTTTGGTCTCACAACTTCTCGGTCTCTTATAAATCTACCGAACTCACTATAGAACTGCCCGTCGATCTCGCTTTTGATCGGGAGAACCATCGGGGCAACCATCAGGACAACCGTCGGGACAACCATCGGGGCAACCATCGGGGCAACCATCGAGACAACCTTGGGGACAGCCATCGTGACAGCCATCGAGACAACCATCGAGACAACCAGACATGATCATGTTGTTGGATATCACGATAGATCGGTCTCACTGTCTCCCTACCGACCTAACTGTATATATATATATATATATATATACACAAACAGATCGATGTCGGTATCACTGTCAACCTATCGAGGCAACCATCAAGACAACCAACGGGACAACCATGAGAACAGCCATTCTCATCTGTCTAGCAGTCTCACGCTCGATCGGTCTCACTGCCTGTCTATCCTGTTATCGACCTGGTCATCGGTCTCACGATCTCTCTGTTTATCTGTCGGACAGCCATCGGAACAACCGTCGGGACAGCCGACGCGACAACCTTCGCGACCACCATCGGGACAACCATCGGGACGACCGTGGGGACAACTAGCGGGACAACCGGGGGGGGAAACCAGGAGCAAAACGGTCCGCGCACGGCGCGAGCCTCTCTGGCCTGAGCTATGGCCCTTTATAACCAGGGCAGGAGAGCCCGTGCAGCCTCGCCGCACCCCGCCCGCACGCACCGACACGCACGAAACGAAGCGATCTCCTGGCTGGGACACATCCCCAGGCGACCACATGTGAGCCCTGCCCCCACCGCCCATGATCTCTTAGGGGGGGAGGGGGTTCATTTCACTTGGGAGCTCCCGAAAGAAGTGAGCCCCCACCCCCCTTCGAAATCGTGGGGGGGGGTAGGGTTCACAGATGGCCACCGACTCAAATTTCACTTCGGCCTCGCCGACTCTAAGGCGAAATCAGGACGAGAGTCAAATCGGGCGAGGATGAATCGGGAATGCCTGAGATCTGGCGGCTCTGGAGGATGTCTCGGGCGCCGTGGCCTTCTCAGAGCGCTCCCCGGAACGCTATGGAACGGATTTATCCTCGTCGCACATCCCTCGAAATCAAACGCAAGGTTTGTTTTCCGCGACATAGCGGCGCCCCCAGACCCCAAATTTCCATGTTCGCGCCGAAACTGGCGACTGCATTTGTCTGTTGTTTCGGACCCCGCGGGCCCCGTTGCGCGCATCGATCAAAACTGGCGTTTGATTTCGAGGAGGGGTGTGGCCCCGCCCAACCCTCCCCAACTTCCGATCCGACGACGGCGACGACGGCGACGACAGACGACGACGAGTGACGGCGACGGCGACGGCGATTTGGCGGCGCGCACAAGGGGGCAGGGGGAGGGGGGAAGGCTTCTCAGAAGGAGGCTCAGAAGGCGCGGCCCTTACATCTACAGACAAGGCCCGCGCCTTCTGAGAAGCAGGGGTGCTTCTCAGAAGCCTTTCCCCCTTACCCTACCAACCTGTGCGCGTGGCCGAACGACGGCGACGGCGGCGGCGAGCCGCGGCCACCGTCTCTCTCGGACACGCCTGGGGCGACCCGGCCAGCCCCGCGCAGCAGGCGGGCGGCGGGGGCCGGAGGCGAACAGAGCTCGAGCCCTGGGCGGTCAGACGCCGACGAGGTGGAGCCAGAGTGAGGGGCAACGATACTACAGTCGGACCTGGAACAGAAGAACATCCTCCAAAAACACGAGACCATCCGCCGGCCCAAACTGAAGAACATTCGAGGGTGCCCTCCCCCAGGATGCACAATAACATCCAACAAGCACGAGGAACATTAGCGTACCCTCCCCGAGCCGACCTCGATATTTTACCTCGGACCATTCGTATCTTCAATGGGAAAAATAATCCAATCAAAAAAAACCTGGGCACCCCCGGGACAACCTGGGCAACCCATGCCGATGAATGACGACAAGACGGCCTACCCCAGACAATCCCTTGGACAACCAGGCGGGGACCCAGACAACCTCACCAGAGAACCCCCCTTGGACAAGCCTCTCTGGGATTTTTCTTCCAGAAGATAAAACAGGGGGGACTGGCACAGGGGGGGAGACGTCGACCTGAATCTGCAAACGGCCCCTAGTGGCGAATCCGCGCGTTCCTGGGCGAGGCGGGGCTATCGGACCCCTGTCGGCGATGAATGGGCGATTGGGGGTCGATGAGACCCCCCGATGCCTATCCCCTCTGATCGCTGCCCCTGACAGAGGCACACGGTCGGGGACTGTTGCTTAACGCGTCGCGGCGGCGGCCCCTGCGACACGCTGTGCCCTGCAAGCCGACAGCGTGTCGCCCCGCTCTGCGGGGCGGGGCGCTGGGAAAAGCTCGGGACGCCGCCGCCTGGGTGCATGGACGTGGCTGGCGTGCCGCGCCGAAGCGTGGTGGGCCAGAACTGGCGGCGCGACGCGCCGAAGCAAACATTCCTGACCGTGGCGGGAGCGGAGGAACCGGGGCACAACGCCGCCACGCCGAGAGCGTCAGGGACAGCAGCTGCGCTCGGACGGCGGCCTGCGGCGGCCGCCGCACAGGCCCAGAGGGTCGGCGTCAGGCAGAGCGCTGGCCAGCCGTGCCCAAGGCACAGGTACAATCCGCCACCGTGCCCTCAGCACGACGTGGGGTGCCCCAAGGCTCATACAGTTGAAAATGTTGAGGACATTGAGGCGTTCCCAATGGCCTGGACCCCCACCTTCCTGGGAGCCCCTGGGAATTCATTGGGTGCGTCGCTTGAGTTCTCTGGACGCGGAGCTGGCCCAAAACTACCCCCAGAACCCCCTAGAAGGCCCCAGGACTCCCAGACAGACCATGAGCAACCCGAGACAGCCCAAGAACACCACAAGGCGCCCAAGATAGCCGCAAGACGGCCCAAGCGGCCCCCAAGACGCCTCAAGAAAGCCAAGAGGGCTCCGGGAGACACCCCGAGAGGGCCCAAGAGGTACAAATCATCGATTCCCCATTGGTTTCCACATGATTTTTGCACGCTCGCCTGTCCAGGCTTCCGAAGCCTAAGAGGGACCACCAGATCACCCTAAGACGTCCAAGCGGTCCCCAAGACCCAAAAGGGGCCCAAGGGGGGGAACACGAACTGACATGTCGAACCCTCCGCCCCAAGAGGACCCCCGAGACAGCCAGCAGATCTCCAAGAGGCCCCCAAAAGAGCACCAGAAAGCGCCCAAGAGGCCCAAAAGAGGCCCCAGGAGGCCCCCAAAAGAACTCGAGAAGGCCCCAAGACACCCCAAAACTGTCTCCAAGAGGCTCCCAAGAGGCCCCCCAAGAGATCCCAACAAGCATCCAAGAGGCCTCCGATCCGCAACCCCGGCACGGTGGCGGGATGGGCCGAGATCCATTAATCCGCCACACCCTGTGGCTTGCTACAGGGGTGCACGGCGTGCCAGACTTTTTAAGTGCTTGGGTGATTCCAAAAGGTTCCCAGTGGGGTCTCGGCCCAGCCCGCCAGCCGCGCGAACAACAGGAACTACATGGGTCTCCCTCCCACGACGGCCCCAGATGGAGTCAAAGACGGCCAAGATGGCCTCCAAGACGGCTAAGATGGCCCCAAGACGCTCACAAGACGCCTCCAAAATGACAAAGATGGCCCAAAGATGGCCCAAGATGCTCCCCAGACGACTCAAGAGGCCCCCATGACGCCCCAAGAGGGCTCCACATCCAGGAGGCAAAAATCATGTATGTTCCTCGGTGTTTCGATGATTGTAGCGTTCTTCCGACGCTCCAAGACAGACCCATGGGCCCCTAAGATCGCCCCAAGCCAGCCCAAGAGGCCCCGAGGAGGCCCGCAAGATGGCCCAAGAGGGCCCCAAGACGGCCCAAGAAGGACTGTCTCCTAGACCTCCAAGACGGCCTTAAGGCGCTCAAAGAAGAACTCACGACAGCCTAGAGAGGGCCCAAGACGGCCTCCCAGGGCCAAGAGGTCCCTCAGAGGCCCCAGGAATCCCCCTAAGAGGCCCCCAAGAGGCCTCAGAAGGCCCCCAAGAGGCCCCAGTAGCTCCCCAAGAGGCCCCTTCAGAGGCCCCCACACGGCTCCCAGCAAGCCCTCAAGAGGTCCAAGAGTCCAAGAGGCCCAGAGGCCTCCCCTTCTTTTTGTCGTTATTATCCTTCCTCCTCCTCCTCCTCCTCCTCCTCCTCCTCCTCCTCCTCCTCCTCCTCCTCGTCGTCGTCGTCGTCGTCGTCGTCGTCGTCGTCGTCGTCGTCGTCGTCCTTCTCCTCCTTCTCCTTGTCCTCTCCAAAGTGTTCCCCCAAGGGGGTTCCACAACGGCTGGGGGAGCGCATAGTTACACAGCTTGGCCAGACTTCGGCCCAACTTTGGGCCGCGTGGGCGCTTTCACAAGGCAGGGGGGGCGGCGGTGGCCCGCCGCAGGCGTCTGCGATACACGGTGCCGTCGGCACTAAAACTGGCGGGCCAGTCATTCGGTTGCGATAGCGGGAAGCCTCCAAGACGCACCCGTCACGCCGTCGGGAGGGCTCAGCGGGAGAGGGGGGCGGGGTGATGGTGCGTGGCCTCGGGGGGCGAGGGGGGAGGAGGGAGGAAAAGGAGGAAAAGGAGGAGAGAGGAGGGAGGAGGGAGGAGGGAGGAGGGAGGAGGGAGGAGGAGGAGAAGGAGGAGGAGGAGGAGGTGACGGACACAGCTTGCTGGCTTCCAAAAAAAAGCCAAAATAACGAACTGACAACAAGAACTGGCTGCTGGAGCAAAATGAAATCCGTCGACCCTGTCGGCGTGTGGAAGAGGCTGTTCCGTTCGACTCGTCTTCGTCGACGTCGTCGTCGCCGTCGCCGCTCCGTCTCTTTCCCTGGGCCCGTCGCCGCCCTCCCCTTTTCCTGGGCCCTCCCCCTCAAGCGCGCCAGCCAAAACGAAATCGAGCAACGTCGTAATTGAGTCGAAGGGAAGCCCCTTCCCTTTGATTCCTTCCCCGCTAGGGGGAGGGTCCCGGGGGTGGTCCCGGGGGGGTGTCCCAGGGGGGGTCACGGGAGGTTCCTGGTCAGAATACCAAACCCCCCTGGGGAGGCCCGGTCCAAGAGGACCCCGAATCGCCGAACGATCGTTCCAAAACGTCTTTACGGCCTCCAGACGGCCCAAGAGGGCTGGAAGACGCCCCAAGAGGTCTCGAAGAGCACTCCCAAGAGAGCCCCAAGAGGCAAAAGTCATTGATGCTCCTTACGTTTTTTACGGATTTGGGCGTTCTCGCCTCTTCAGCTTCCCGACGCTCCAAAACGGCACAAGAGGCTCTAACGATCGCCCCAAGAGCCCTCCAAGCGTGTCCAGAAACGGGCCAAAGAGGGCCCGAAGACGGTCCAAGACGCCTGCAAGGTGGCCGATGAGGCCCCCAAGAGGGCTCCAAGAGGGTGCCCAGACAGGGGAACCAAACGGATAGAGCCCTCGGCCCCGAGAGGCTCCAAGTAGGCCCCACGAGGCCCCCAAGAGGCCCCCAAGAGGCTCCAAGAGGCCCCCAAGAGCCCAAGAGGCCCCCAGGAAGCCCCAAGAGACTCCCAAGAAGCTTCCAAGAGGCCTCCAAGATGCTCCCAACGGACCCCAAAAACTGCCCCATAGAGGCCTCCGAGGGCGCTCCGAAGAGACCCCAAATAGAATCCCTGAGGACTCTGACCCACGCCAGCAGTATCGTCGTCGTTGTCATCGTCGTCGTCGTCGTCCCCCTTCAGGGTCGGCGGCACCGGCCGTAAGGCCTTCGTAATGAACGCCAAGACGAATGTCCCATCATGAGGCACGCACACACACACACACACACACACACGGCCATTGCCGAAGTCGTCGTCGTCGTCACCATCGCCGTCGATCATGATCATCATCATCATCATCATCATCATCATCATCATCATCATCATCATCATCATCATCATCATCATCATCATCATCATCATCATCATCGTCGTCATAATCGTCGTCGTCAGCAGCAGCACCATCATCAGTATCATCATCATCTTCATCGTCATCAGCAGCACCACCACCATCATCAGCATCATCATCAGCAGCATCACCATAATCAGCAGAGAATCATCATCATCATAATCAGAATGATAATCAGGATCAGCATAATCTGCAGCAGCAGCATCAGCATCATCATCCTCATCCTCATCATCATAATCAGCAACAACATCATAAGTAAGCATTATCGGCATCGTCATTGTCATTGCCATCATCATCATCATCATCATCACCAGCAGCAGCAACATCAGCAACATCAGAGTCTCTATCACCAACATCACCACCGTCGTTGTCACCATCACCGTCGTCATCATCATTTTCATCACCGTCTTCATAACCACCATCATCGTCATCGTCATCGTCATCGTTGCTGTCGTCGCCCTCGTCGTCGGCGCCACCATCATCATCAGGACCGTCATCATCACCAACACCATCAGCACCACCACCACCACAATCATCATCATCAGCACCATCAATATCATCATTGTTATCAGCATAATAATCATCATCGTCATCGGCATCATCACCATCATCATCGTCGTCATCGTCGTCGTCATCGCCATCGTCGTCATCATCGTCATCATCGTCTTCTCCGTCGTCGCAGTCGCCGATGTCGTCGTCACCAGTATCACTCATCCGCCCAAGTCAAAGATCTGCATGAGAAGAGTCCTCGCGCCACTGCACCAGCTGATTGTGCCACGAAATTTCGGGTGGGTAAGTGGGATGGTTGTTCGGATTCACGACTTCAACACTTTGCAATTCACTGCGCCCAGTATAAGACACGACATGGATTCAGCCATAGCTTGGCTCCGTATATTCTCCTTTCTAAAAACACAATAGGATCTATCCCCCCCCCCCGGCGTTATCGCTACCCCTTTCGGGCATGTAAATCATATATGATTTTGAACACATGTCCATCCCAAATATGAATTTACACTATCCCCGGGGGGCCGGTATCCCCCCCTGAGGGTCCCTTGTAAGAAACACTATGCGGTGACATTTGTTTCTCGAACATAACACTTTTTCGCGAATCCCTTACTAAAAACGGGACGAAGTGCACACGCGCGCGTCGTCGCGCGCGCATGCCGAAATCCTTCAAAAACCTTTGGTGCCGGAAGGATTTCGCAATCGAGTTTCCAAAAAAACATACAGGAACACAGGGATTCGCAACACTGGTTTGCTAAAAAAGCTTCCGCGCGAGCTCTTGCGAAATCTTAATTAAGAGAACCATAGGTTTTTCAAGATTTTCACAAAATGCACTCAAACGGGCTTCGCGCGCGCGCATGTCGAAGTCTGCCGAACGCCCTTGCGCGCGTGCCGTCGCGAGAATCCTCTGCAAAAAAATGTGACGAAGTGCAGACGCGCGCGTCGTCGCGCGCGTATGCCGAAAACATTCAAAACCCATCGGTTTCGCAAGGATTTCAAAATCGTGTGTCCAAAATACATACAAAAACCAAAGGTTTCGCAACACGGATTTTCAACAAAAGCGTGCGCGCGCGCTCTTGCGTCGTCGTCGTCGTCGCCGTCCTCCCTCCTCCCGCGTCGTCGTCGTCGTCGTCGACTACGTCGTCCCGTGTCTTTCCTCGTGTTCGTCGTCGCCGTCCTCTTTGGCGTCGTGGTCGTTTCCGTCGTCGTTGTCGCCGTGGTCGTCCTTCCTCCTCCTCCCTCGTCGTCGTCGTCCATCGTCGGCGTCTCGTCGTCGTCCCTCCTATTTCGTCGTCGTCGTCGTTGTCGTCGTCGTCGTTCCTCCTCCCTCGTCGTTTTCGTCGTCGGCGTCGCCGTCCTTCCTCCTTCTTCGTCGTTCGCGTCGTCGCCGTCCTCCCTCCTCCCTCGTCGTTGTCGTCGTTGTCCTCGTTGTCGCCGTCGTCGTCCTTCCTCCTCCCTCGTCGTCGTCTTCGTTGGCGTCGTCGTCGTCTTCGTCTTCGTCGGCGTCGGCATCGTCGTTGTCTTCGTCGTCGTCGACGTCGGCGTCGTCGTCGTCGCCGCCGTCGTCGTCGTCGTCGTCGTCGGCGTCGTTGACGACGTCGTCGCCATCGTCGTCGGTGTCGTTGTTGTCGTCGTCGTCGGCGTCGTCATCGTCGTCGTCGTTGTCATCGTCGTCGTCGTCGTCGGCGTCGGCGTCGTCGTCGTCGTCGGTGTCGTCGTCGTCGGTGTCGGCGTCGTCGAAGTCGTTGGAGACGTCGTCGGTGTCGTCGTAGTCGCTGTCGGCGGCGTCGTCGTCGTTGTCGCTGTCGTCGTCGGCGTCGCTGTCGCTGCCAAGTGCAATTTGGTACCCACCGTCACGGTCTTAAGAAATGTTGCAAACCAAGTTGCGGGTGGGTGGGTTTGATGTTTGGGAGTGGACAACTCACTGCGAACAGAAATTGATTCTCCTGTCCAAAAACACAATAGGATCTACCCCCCCCCCGGCGTTATCGGTCCCCCTTTCGGGTATGTAATTCATATAGGATTCTGACCACAAGTCCATCCTAAAAATGAATTATCCCGGCAAGTCAACCTAACAGCGATGTGTAGAAGCATATCTGAAAGCATTCCCCTTAAGATTCAGATGAAAATCCAGTTGTAGAATTCTGCTGTTCTCGCAGTCGTAGTCGCATTCGCGATGACAGTCGCAGCGGCAACGGCAGTCGCAGTCACAGCCTCAGCCTCAGCCTGCCTCAGCCTCAGCCTCAGCCTGCCTCAGCCTCAGCCTGCCTCAGCCTCAGCCTCAGCCTGCTTCAGCCTCAGCCTCAGTCTGCCTTCAGCCTCGGCCTCAGCCTCAGCCTGCCTCAGCCTCAGCCTGCATCAGCCTCAGCCTCAGCCTCAGCCTGCCTCAGCCTCAGCCTGCCTCAGCCTCAGCCTCAGCCTGCCTCAGCCTCAGCCTCAGCCTGCTTCAGCCTCAGCCTCAGTCTGCCTTCAGCCTCGGCCTCAGCCTCAGCCTGCCTCAGCCTCAGCCTGCCTCGGCCGCAGCATCAGCCTGCCTCAGCATTCAAAATGTGGCCCAGGAATGGAGTTCTGGGAACTAGAAGAACACGAAGTGGCCTACAGTTGGCTCCGGGCATTCAAAATCATGCCCAGGAATGGAGTTCTGGGAACTTGAAGAGCACGAAGTGGCCTACAGTTGGCTCCGGGCATCCAAAATGTGGCCCGGGAATGGAGTTCTGGGAAATCGAAGAGCACGAAGTGGCCTACAGTTGGCTCCGGGCATCCAAAATGTGGCCCGGGAATGGAGTTCTGGGAAGTCGAAGAGCACGAAGTGGCCTACAGTTGGCTCCGGGCATCCAAAATGTGGCCCGGGAGTGGAGTTCTGGGAGCACCAAGAGCGATTTTGCGAGGATGTCCCAAGCGATTTCAGCTTCGGCGGCAGCCTCCCGGCAGCCTCCCCGGGTCCCGCCCAGACCCCCCTGAGGAGTCATGATGCTCTCTTTTGAGACCACTAGAAACCTATCAGCAAGAGGTGTTAGGTAATTTACACGATCCCCGGGGGGGCGGTATCCCCCCCTGAGGGTTCCTTGTAAAAAACACTATGCGGTGACATTTGTTGTTCTAACATAACACTTTTTCGCGAATCCCTTGCAAAAAATTGGACGAAGTGCACACGCGCGCGTCGTCGCGCGCGCATGCCGAAATCCTTCAAAAACCTTTGGTGCTGGAAGGATTTCGCAATCGAGTTTCCAAAAAAACATACAGGAACACAGGGATTCGCAACACTGGTTTGCGAAAAAAGCTTCCGCGCGAGCTCTTGCGAAATCTTAAGAAAACCATTGGTTTCTCAAGATTTTCATAAAATGCTACCAAACGGGCTTCGCACGCGCGCATGTCGAAATCTGTCGAACGCCCTTGCGCGTGTGCCGTCGCGAGAATCCTCTGCAAAAAAACGAACTGCAGACGCGCGCGTCGTCGCGCGCGTATGCCGAAATCCTTCAAAACCCATCGGTTTCGGAAGGATTTCAAAATCGTGTCCAAAATACAAAAACCCAAGGTTTCGCAACACGGATTTTCAACAAAAGCGTGCGCGCGCGCTCTTGCGTCGTCGTCGTCGTCGTCGTCGCCGTCCTCCCTCCTCCCGCGTTCGTCGCCTACGTCGTCCTCTGTCTTTCCTCGTGTTCGTCGTCGTCGTCCTCTTTGGCGTCGTGGTCGTTTCCGTCGTCGTTGTCGCCGTGGTCGTCCTTCCTCCTCCTCCCTCGTCGTCGTCGTCGTCCGTCGTCGGCGTCTCGTCGTCGTCCCTCCTATTTCGTCGCCGTCGTCGTCGTCGTTGTCGTCGTCGTCTTCCCTCCTCCCTCGTCGTTGTCGTCGTCGGCGTCGCCGTCCTTCCTCCTTCTTCGTCGTTCGCGTCGTCGCCGTCCTCCATCCTCCCTCGTCGTTGTCGTCGTTGTCGTCGTTGTCGGCGTCGTCGTCCTTCCTCCTCCCTCGCCTTCGTTGGCGTCGTCGTCGTCTTCGTCGTCGTCGGCGTCGGCGTCGTTGTCGTCGTCGAAGTCGTCGGAGACGTCGTCGGTGTCGTCGTAGTCGTTGTCGTCGGTGTCGTAGTAGTCGGTCTTAAGAGGTTTTGCAAACCAAGTTGCGGGTGGGAGGGTGGGATGTTTGCGCGAGCAGGGGAGATGACGACTTCAAGTTCAGCAGAGTGGGCTGCACGCCATAGACTGCACCAGATACATTGCGAGAGCAAAACAAACAAGTACTCGGCGTCCACGCTGCCAAACAACACGGCTGAAGAATCCGCCGACCCCTCCCAGACTCCCGTCCAGTCTAGGGCCGGAGCCCTCACCAAGAAGGACTCAATCCGCCCGAATCCTCGACCCATTCCCCAGGTGCAGGGTCTCGCCCCAGATCAGCGTTTGACTGCCCCAGGGCCCTACAGCGGCTGTGGGAAGCTGAAATTTGTGAAACACGACGGACCTTGGCGGCCTGGAAATTGGCACCAACACCAACTCAGGAGGGTCGCCTCCACTGGGGGAAACCGATCCTGGATGCTGGTACTGGTGGTAATCTCTCGGCCACCTAAGAAGCTCGAATGTCACCACAATCACAGAGATTAGGATCATCCTCCCTCGGTGGAAGCAACCGCCGATCCTGGTGCTGGTGCCAACTTGTAGGCCTTCGAAGAACTGAAAGCATCAAGCCGCCGGAGGTCTGGGAACGTGCTGAAAGAACAGCAGTCGCAGTTTCAGCGGGCCGCAGCATGTTTTCGGCCCCCTCCCCCCTCCTGACCGCGCTGGAGGCGGGCTCCTGGCCACATCCCCCTCCCACTCGACCCTCCTCCACCCTGGTCCCCCCCCTCCTCCCCAGACCCTCCACGCTGCGTTTTCTTCAGACCGTACACCCCCAAAGGTTCTCCCTTTCCAAGGGACCAGCTTCTCACCCTGAGCCGTCTTTCGACAATCCGAGCCCCAGTAAAATGCCCCAAGGGCCGAGGATAGCAAAAGCAGCCCGGGACAGCAAGTCGCGCTGATTTCCACTACGCGAGCTGATTTTTGACGGCTACTGGGGCCGACAAGGCCGCCCCGAGGCCGAAAATTGCTGAAAAAACCTTCCGTCGCAATTTGTCCACGACGAGAAGATGTCGGGCTTCGAGCCGTAGCTCGGGGTCCCGGCGGCCGCTCGGGACCATTCCGGCACCCCCGTGGATGCCCTCGGCGAGGCGCAGCTACTGGAAAGCACCCCGAAGCCTCAAAACCTCCAAGAACCGAGGCCGACAACCGCCGCAAACGTCCGAAAGCCTGGGCCCCCGCCTTCCCCTTCCTCCACAGGTCCCTCCTTCCTCCCCCAAAGGAAGATCGCCAGGTACCCCAAGAGGCTTGTCATGCGTCGCTGATCGGCTATGGGGGGTGGGGGTCTCGCTCTCTTCCTGGAGGCTGACCGCCCCCCCTGCCGCACTCCAGGACTCTAGAGAGAGAGAGTCCAGAGCACCCCGATCCACACAAACACCCACCGGGCCACTCCTTCTCCCTCCCTCCTCCTCCCTTGGCCTCGTCCTCGTTCCTCCTCGTTCCTCCTCGTTCCTCCTCCTCCTCCTCCTCCTCCTCCTCCTCCTCCTCCTCCTCCTCCTCCTCCTCCTCCTCACCACCTCCTCCTCCTCCTCCTCAAACGCCTCCTCTCTCCCCCCTCCCCCCGGAGCGGGCCTCGGCACCGGCGCCGACCCGCGAGCGGAGCGGAGCGGAGCGCGCCGAGTCCGCCGCCTGGCCGGCCAGCGGGCCCCTTAGGGGTCGCGAGGGCGGGCCGGGGCCCATGCACTGCGGTCGGTGGTACAAAGACGGGGCCCTGAGGGATGGGGGGCCAAGGAGAGGAAGGGATCCAAGGGTGGGTTTACGCCGTTTGAGGCGCCTCGTCCTGAGGACCCCATCCCTCAGGACCCCATGCACTGCAGTCGGTGGTACAAAGATGGGGCCCTGAGGGATGGGGGGCCAAGGAGAGGAAGGGATCCAAGGGTGGGTTTACGCCGTTTGAGGCGCCTCGTCCTGAGGACCCCATCCCTCAGGACCCCATGCACTGCAGTCGGTGGTACAAAGATGGGGCCCTGAGGGATGGGGGGCCAAGGAGAGGAAGGGATCCAAGGGTGGGTTTACGCCGTTTGAGGCGCCTCGTCCCGAGGGCCCCATCCCTCAGGACCCCGTCTTTGAACCACCGACGTTCACCGCATGCGCTGGGGGAAGACCGGCAAAAGGCCTCTGGCCCCGCCACCCTCACCGCTTGTGCAGCACCAGGGGCAGGGCCCGAGCGTCCATCAACGAGGCCCCGACCGCGGGACCTGCCCAGCGCCCGCCGCCCGCCGCTCGCCTCTCACCGTCGCCGCCGCCGCCAGTCGTCGGTCATCGCTCGCCGCCCGCCGCTCGTCGCTCACCGTCGTCGCTGACGCAACGGTCGCTAGTCGTCGTCGCCGCTGCACCGACGATCGCCGATCGTCCGCAGCCGCCGCTCTCGCCGCCCGCCGCTCGCCGCTCGCCTCTGGGGGGCCGCCGATCGTCTGCAGCCGCCGCTATCGCCGCCCGCCGCCCGCCGCTCGCCGCTCGCCGTCGGTCATTGGTTGTTGCCGCCGCCGTCCTTAGGGGGTCCCGAAACGCTGCGGCGACACACACCGTGTGGTGGCCTCGCAATCCCCAGAGACCTCACCGCACGGCACACCACCGCACCGTTTTGGGACACCGGAGGGCCCCGGCCGCCCGACCGCAGTCACCCTGAGTCCCCGCTGACTCGCCGAGCGGTGGAACTTTTCCAAGTGAAGATACGTGTTTAAAGTGCAGCTCGGATGAAGAAAACTGTCAGCTCCCCAACTGCTGGAGAGGGGGGTCTCCACCATGCAGGAACCGTCCAGATGAGAGGGGGAGAAGGCAACGAAGAAGGAAAGAAGGGAAGAACGAAGAAGGGAGAGACGACTATCGGTGATGGACAGACCCCCCTTTAGCAAAACGTGGTTTCGTGAAAACGACCTGAGGCCCAAACCTGGCGGGCGCAAGCCTGGAAAACAACGGCCACGGCGCCATCTCGAGAACCGAAAACGGACAATTCATTAATCGACGTGTCACTGTTAGGGGTTCTGTCCACCCCCGAGACTAACTACTCGGTGTGGTCACCGCACCGTGTGGGGGACTCCGATCGTCGTCGGCCGAGGCTGGCCTTCCCAGGCCTCCAGAGACCGCCAAGGGGGGCAACCTCGGGGCCTCGGTCGCCGCCGCCGTCGTCAGAGTCACCGTCGTTGCCGTCGTCGTCGACCTCCAGCTCCTCCTCCTCCTCCTCCTCCTCCTCCTCCTCCTCCTCCTTTTCCTTCTCCTGTTCCTTCTCCTCCTCAGATTCCTCCTCCTCCTCCTCCTCCTCACACCCTCCTCCTCCTCCTCCTCCTCTCCTCCTCCTCCTCCTCCTCCTCCGCAAGCACCACCATCACCATCACCACCACCACCACCACCATCACCATCACCACCATCATCCTCATCATCATCATCATCATCATCATCATCATCATCATCATCAGCAGCATCATCAGCATCATCATCAGCACCACCACCACAATCAGTCTCGACATCATCATCATCATCATCATCATCATCATCATCATCATCATCATCATCATCACCACCACCACCACCACCATCATCATCATCATCATCATCATCATCATCATCATCATCATCGTCATCATCGTCATCATCATGATCAGCATCAGCATCAGCATCAGCATCATCATCATCGTCAGCAGCAGCAGCATTAGCATCAGCATCAGCATCAGCATCAGCATCAGCATCAGCAGCATCACCATCACCATCACCATCATCAGCAGCAGCATCAGCATCAGCATCAGCATCATCATCAGCATCATCATCAGCATCATCATCGGCAGCATCCTCATCATCAGCATCATCAGCATCATCGTCGTCATCATCATCATCATCCAGATCAGCATCAGCATCATCGTCATCATCAGCAGCATCAGCATCATCGCCATCACCATCAACAACAGCAGCATCATCACCACCAGCATCGTCATTATCAGCATCATCAGCAGCAGCATCATCACCATCATCAGCATCATCAGCCGCATCATCAGCATCATCAACAGCATCATCAGTATCATCATCATCAGCATCATCATCATCGTCATCATCACCAGCATCGTCATCGTCATCATCATCGTCATCATCATCATCATCAACAGCATCATCATCATCGACACCATCATCACCACTGTCAGGATCATCATAATCATCATCATCAGCAGCAGCATCACGTCATCAGCAGCATCATTTGCAGCATCATCAGCATCAGCATCAGCATCAGCATCATCAGCATCATCACAAACACCTACACCTTCACCACCACCATCATCATTATCGTCATCAGTATCACCCTTATCATCAGCATCATCAGCATCATCAGCATCATCATCATCTTCAGCATCATCAGCACCAGCATCGTCATCGTCATCGTCCTCCTCCTTTTCCTCCTCTTCATCGTCGTCGTCATCGTCATCCTCCTTCTCCTCCTCCTCCTTGTCCTCCTCCTCCTTCTCCTCCTCCTCCTCGTCGTGGTTGTCGGTCGTCGTCGTTCGTCGTCGTGGTCGGTCGGTATCGGCGCTGGTCGGCAGTCGATCGGTCGATAGTCGGCCGTCGGCCGTCGTCGTTGGGCATCCGTCGTCAATCGCCAGATCGTTGGTCGTACGCCGTCCGTCGTCAATCTTCCGTCGTCGTCCGTGGCTGCTCGCGGCTCGACGACACAGTCGGCGTCGTCGCTGCCGCCGTCGGAGGAGCGAAACTGCTCGTTACTAAAAAGACCTGCACCATCCTCCTCCTCCTCCTCCTCCTCGTCCTCCTCCTCCAGCGCCCCTCATCCCTCATCCACTCCAGTGAACTTCCTCCTCCTCCTCCTCCTCCTCCTCCTCCTCCTCATCCTCCTCCTCCTCCTCTTCCTCCCCCTCCAGCGTCCATCCAACGTCCCCTCTCCTCCTCCCGTGAACTTCCTCATCCACTCCTCCCCGTTCTTTGTCCCTCCTCCCTCCTCGTTCCTCCTGCTCCTCCTCATCCTCCCCCTCTCATCACGCTCTTCATCCTCCTCCCCCTCCTCCTTCCTTCTCATCACCCCTCCTCCTACCTCCTTGGCGTCCTCCTCCCTCCTCCTCCTCCTCCTCCTCCTCCTCCTCCTCCTCCTCCTCCTCCTCCTCCTCCTCCTCCTCTCATCTCATCATCATCATCATCATCATCATCATCACCATAATCATAATCATAATCATAATCATAATCATAATCAATCATCATCGTCATCAATCATCATCATCATCATCATCATCATCATCATCATCATCATCATCATCATCATCATCAGCATCATCATCATCATCATCATCATCATCATCATCAGCATCATCATCATCAGCATCATCATCATTGTCGTCGTCGTCATCATCATCATCAGCATCATCATCATCAGCATCATCATCATCATCAGCAGCATCAGCATCATCATCATCATCATCATCATCATCATCATCATCATCATCATCATCATCATCGTCATCATGATCATGATCATCATCATCATCATCATCATCATCAGCATCATCATCATCATCCTCATCATCATCATCATAATCATCATCCTCCTCGTCATCGTCATCAAGCATCATCATCATCAGCAACATCATTGTCGTCGTCATCATCATCATCAGCATCATCATCAGCATAATCATCTTCATCATCATCAGCATCATCAGCATCATCATCATAATCATCATCCTCCTCGTCATCGTCATCAAGCATCATGATCATCATCAGCATCATCATCATCAGCATCATCATTGTCGTCATCATCATCATCATCATCAGCATCATCGTCAGCATCATCATCATCATCGTCATCAGCATCATCATCATCATCGTCATCATCATCATCATCATCATCCTCATCATCATCATCCTTCTCCTCTTTCTCCCTCCTTCCACCTCCTCGTTTCGGACGACGACGACGACGAACGTCCGACGACAAAAAATGACAAACGACGACGAATGTTGCACGACGACGACGACGACGAACGTCAGCCTGAGGGGGGACGATTGGAGGGGACTGGCTCAGGGTTGAAGCATCGAGCTGGAAGCGGCGATACATCGCCGATAGATCGGCCACAGGCCATCGACAGTGAATCCGAACGGTCTGGGACGTTGTGGGCCCATCGGCGATGAACGGGCGATTGAGGGTCGATGCTCGATCCGGGCCGAAAAGTCGGACTGCAAGCCTCCTCGTGGCGGCCAGGGGTAGCTTGATGCTGGCAGGATCTGTCGACGGCCGTCTCTCCCCAGAGGCGGCGGAGGGCATCAAGGCCAAGGAGGTAGAGGGGGCCTCCAGCAGACGCAAGTGTGCGGTGACGGCGGTCCGTGGCAGCCGACCCAGGGAGTGTAAGCCTAGTGCCCTGACTTTATAGTCCTCGCCGCATCGGGGGGTGCGGTCACGACTCCTACTGGGAAGGCTGTCATTGGGTGCATCCTGATCGGCACACCTCGCGGACTTGAGTTCCGCGAGCAAGGGACGGCTTGTGAGGGGTGTCTGGCCTCCCTGGCAGTGCTCCCGAGTACTGTCACGCACAAAATCGCCCTGCGGCGGATGGCTAAGCCAACCGCCGGGAGTGGCCATTTTGACCTTTGCAACTCCTTTTCCGGTCGATGCTCGATGTATCCCCCCCTGAGCCAAACCCCCCTTGGGTTGACTGGCCTCGGCTTTCGATTCATGACTCGGGTCTCTGGCGGCCGTTCGGGACGACCCAAGTACCCCAAGACGCCTCTCGGCGAGACGCAGCTGCTGGAAGGCATCCCGTGGCTGAAAAACGTTTGGAAACGACGACAGCGCCCGAAAACCTCAAATCTCGAACCCAACGACCCAACCCCCGCCCTGATGTTGCCCCTGGCAAACGGCGACGACCAGTGACGGCCGATGACCGACGGTCGACGACCGACACAACGACCTGCCGGTTGCGGCGTGGTGAGCACCGTGGGCAGCGCCGAGCGGATGGCCTGCCTAGGCGGGGGGGGCGCCGGCCCCCTCGAAACGGGGTTCCAAACGCGCGGTTCCCATGCGGCCGCGCCGACGACGACGACGACGACGACGACGACGACGACGACGACGACGACGACGACGACGACGACGACGACGACGGCAGCGGCGATCACGACTACGACCACGACCACTTAGATTTCCCATGATGTTACAATCATCCTATACGTTTTTCCTCTGCCTCGGCCTCCAGGGCCCGTTGTCGGGCCTTGGGCCTGTCAAAAACAGCTCCAAGACGAAAAACTATCCCCAGGGAAGGGGTTGGGACCTCTGGGGCCGCGCACTGAGAAAAATAGTTGGATGTCTGTGCACGGTCACAACGACGGCCATGACGAAAACGACGACGACGACGTAGACGGCCACGCCGTCCATATCCACGGCCATGACCACGAGCATGACGACCACGGCGACCACAGCAACCGCAACGGCGACCACCACAACAACGAGTTCTAGGAGGTTTTCTGGACCAGGGAACCTTTACGATGACATGCGAGCTATGTGTATAGTAGCACCGATGTTGCGTGACCTAGGTCACGTGCTGACTGGCAAGAAAACACCCGGCGCGCGACACCGAGGCCCCGTACACGACATGCCCATTGCGATGCTGACAGCAGCGCTCGTCGCTGCAGTGGGAACTGTCACTTGCCTGTGCAGATCGCGCGCTGTCACGGCGCCTCGCTCACGAGCAGTCAAAGCGCACGCGCGCAACAGGACCCTGATCCAGCTGGCGGCCCCGAATCTACCTCCCCCGAGTTGGCCCCATGGTCCTGGCCAGGCAATTTCCCGATGGGGTCCATGAAGTCGCGCTGTTTCGGGCGTGGAAAAGAAAACCCTGCCCACGTGGCTGAGTGAGACGAGAGGAGGAGAGAGATGGATCATCGGCAGGCATCGGCGCGGGAGGGGATGGGGGGGCGGAGGTGCCTGCGGCTACTAGTAAGAAAGCGGTGGACTCGTCCTCTGCATCGCAGTCGATCATTTCACGCATGATTGATAGCTCGCCGCGCTCGCTGCTGCTGCTACTGTCGTGCGCAGGCATAGTTGGGGATGAAAGCGTGGGCTGGAGGGACATCGCCGCGTGAATGCGAAAATGAGATCCGTCGAAAGTGATCGAGCCAAACTGATATATCCTCCTCCATCCAGCACGCTGGGGCGGGGCCCAGGCGGAGCTTCGCCTTCCCCGCTGTGAGGGAGTGCGCCGATGACATGCCAGAGAGGCCCCCAGTCGCGGGGGGCCCATGATCAGTTTGGCGGCGTCTGGGTCGCGAGTCTTCTCGACGCGGACGAAGGCTACCTCATGCAGGGAGGTCACGTGACCGATCTCGGGTTCCTCTTCCTGCTGCTCCGGGTTGCACTTTGTAAGATACGTCTCGATGGGTGCGCGCGCTCGGCCTCCGATCTCGCAGAGTGAGAGTTCTTCTGGCATCGCGAGGGCAGAGGCTGGGGTCGGTGGGCTTAGCTTATGGAGCTGTTCCTCGTTCTGCTCGGCCTTGAACATGTTTGACTCGGTCTTGAAGCCCTCCAGCTCTGCGATGTGGCGAGAACTGGACGGGTAGTCGGCAGCGTCCATGCGTCGGCCACGGTGCACATGATGCGTCGTATATCCTGCGTGTTCTGGGGCAGTACGTGATGTCATCGCGGCGGTTAGGAAGACCCGCGGGTTCCTCTCCGCGTCGGTCCAGGTCTTACCCGTTCGACAGCCCTCACGGGCTCGGCGTCCGCCTCGCCGTCGAGACCGTCGGCGTTCGTCCTCTTCCTCTCCCCCCACGCCCATGCGATCGTCCACGTCCTCGTCCGCGTCCACCACTTGGGACTTCAACGGGCCCCTGGCGCCTGCCGCTTGGGCCCGGCGCCTCTGCGGCGCCGGAGGGGCGCCTGTCGCTCGAGGGTCTTTGCCGGAGTCGCCAGACTTGACCGAGGACGGTGGAGGGCCTCCCCACTTGGCTCTCGGCACTGCCCCGACGTCGGGTCGAGCACGAGTTGGCACCCAGAGCGCAGAAGTCGGGGCCGCTCTGGCCGGCGACGGCCTCGGCTCCGCTGGCGCAGCTGCGGGTGGCGCAGCAGAGGGGGGATGGCGCCGTCGAAGCGCGCGTCGAGTAGGGGCTAAGGGGGGCGGGCACGGTGTGTCCGCACCTGTCCTCTCTTGCTCCCGCATGCCCCGCCTCCGGCGTGCCGCTGCTGCTGCACCCAGACCTGCGATGCCCTGATTTTTTTTCAGCACGGGGCCCTCGGAAGTCTCGACCCTTTCCCTGGGACCAGTTTTTCATCCTGAGTTTTTCTTGTCGAGGGCCCATGGGGGCCAGTAAAGGCCCCCGGAGGCCGAAAATTGAGAAAACTTCAAGACGTTGCATGTCTGGGCATGCTCGCGCTGGGCAAGCATATCGCTCCGCACCGCGCGGCTGCAGCCGCTTCCCAGGGGCGAAGCGCGACACCTTGTCGGGCACGCCCCGAAGCCTCGAGCGCGGGGCCCCCCTCAGTGACAAAGCCGCGACCCGCTGCCGCCCGTGGCAGTACTGGCCCGAGAAGCCCGGGGCTGGGCCTCTGTGCCTCAGTCCTGGGCGAACGCTAGGCCAGGCCCAGTGGTCGCCGCCACCGTCGTCGTCGTCGTCGTCGTCGTCGTCGTCGTCGTCGTCGTCGTCGTCGTCGTGGTGGTAGCCCTCGTCGTCGTCCTTTTCAAAGTATGGCTCTCGCCCGGGCGCCGCGCACACCCGTTTTAAAAACTCACAGCGAATCCACGAACTAAAAACTGGTGGTTTTCAACATGGGGCTCTCGCCTTCGCGCCGCGCACATCTGGCTCTAACGAAGTGCGGAAGGTTTTGGGATTGAGGACAGGTGGTTTTCAAAATGTGACTCTCGCCCTGGCGCCGCGCACATCCGCCCCAAAAAATGCAACAACTTCACGGATGGAGGGCGGGCCGTTTTCGAAATGTGGCTCTCGCCTGAGCGCCGCGCACATTCGTCAAAAAAACTGCAAGAGCTTCACGGATGGAGGGCGGTCGTTTCACAATTTGGTCACGCCATAGCGCCGCACACATTCGTCATCAAAAGCTGCAAGAGTTTAACGGATGGAGGGCGGCTCCTTTTCAAAATGTGGACAATGTTGACCTTGCCCTAGCACCGCGCACGTCCTGCTTCAGAGTTTACCACAGTTGTTAACGTCCCAGAAATGGTGTCTTTGCACGATGTCGGACTGACCAGGCGCAACAGTTACGTTGATGCGGGGTGTTGAAATCCCAGGAACGGTGTTCTGGCAAGATTCAAGAGCGCTAAGACTCAACAGTAACGGTGATTCGCGGCGTTGAAATCCCAAGAACGGTGTTCTGGCACAGCTCAAGATTTTTAAACACTTGAATTTCAACAGGGCTCTTCCTCAGGTGCAAATGAACCCTTGTACGGCCCTGTGAAGAAGGAGCTTGGAGGAAGGGTGTGTTGCATTAACCTTCATGAGTCTTGGGTTCACACTGGTCCTCCTCCTCCTCCTCTTCCTCCTCCTCCTCCTGCGTCTCCTCCTCCTCCTCCTCCTCCTCCTCCTCCTCCTCCTCCTCCTCCTCCTCCTCGGCCTCCTCCTCCTCTTCCTCCGCCTCCGCCTCCGCCTCCTCCTCCTCCTCCTCCTCCTCCTCCTCCTCCTCCTCCTCCTCCTCCTCCTCCTCCTCCTCCTCCTCCTCCCCTTCTCCCTCTCCCCACTCGTAGTCGTGCTCGTCGGCGATGCGTGGCCCCAGATGTCCTGACCACTTCCCTGGGGGCAAGCTGTTGGCCCAGATCGACCCCGGGGCCCAACAGCGGGTCCCTGGGGCCGAAATCGAAAAAAAACGCCCAAATTAACAAACAGAAAAAGCGAGGCGTACCCAACCCCGGCTCCACGCGAGTCGACTATTTAAATGGACGTTCCATACAAAAGAACACGTTGCGACGACAATCTGCTCCACTGGACCTCCCAGGAGCCCACGACAGTGGCAACAATTTCGCACTTCGCAGCCCCCCCAGGGAGCCGCGAGGTCTCGGCTGGGTCTGCGTATTCCGGCACTCCAGGCCTCCAAGGAGCTCACCATAGTGACGACAGCTGCGCACTTCGCAGCGCCCCAGGGAGCCGCGAGATTTCGCCTGCATGTGCGTCCTCCCCCAATCTGGTGGGCATCCCAGAAACACACAGAAGAGGCGACGGTTTTGCAGTTCGCAGTCCCCGAGGGAGCTGCGAGGTCTCGGCTGGATGTGCATACTGCACTACGCCAGTTGCGCAGTTCGCAGCCCCCCAGGGAGCTGCGAGGTCCCGCCTGGGTCCGTTTACCCCGCCACTCCGCCGTGCCTCCCAGGAGCCCACTGAAGTGGCGACAGTTGCGCAGTTCGCAGTCCCCCAGGGAGCTGCGAAGCCTCGCCTGGGTGTGCGTACTCCCCTACTGCGCCGTGCCTCCCAGGAGCCCACTGAAGTGGCGACAGTTGCGCACTTCGCAGTCTCCCCCAGGGATCTGCGAGGTCTCGGCTGGGTGTGCGAACTCCCCTACTCAGCTGGACGTGCCAGGAGCCCACGAAAGTGGCGACAGTTGCACAGTCCGCAGCCAGCAGCGCAGGAGGAGGCAGGAGGAGGCAGGAGGAGGGGTAGCGGGGGGGAGAAGGAGAAGGAGTGGATACCACAGTGCTCGACTCAAAACGAGAACCCAACACGGGAGGGCGGGGGACACAAAAAAAACACCCTCGGAGATCTGAAGGGCATGCCCAGCGATCGCCTGGGATTGCCGACCGCAGGGGCGAGGCGGCAGGGCGAGGCGTGGCGGCGCACACAAAGGGGGTATGGATAAGGGGTGGAGGCTTCTTAGAGGGCGCCTGCCCTACATCTACAGATAAAGCCCGCGCCCTCTGAGAAGCAGGGGTGCTTCTAAGAAGCCTTCCCCCCTCCCCCATTCAGAAGCCGGGCGAAGGCTGGAAAACCCGTGGCTGCTAAAACGGAGCTCCAGGAAACTGTTTTCTCTTCCAGGAAGCAGCCTGGTCACTGCGTAGTGCGCCGAGCTATGTATTCGGGGAGTTCGCTTCTCCCTTCCGGGAAGACCGTTTTAGCAGCCACGGACTTGCCAGCCCTCTCCCAGCTTTCGACCCGTACCCCCCCTCTGCGCGTGGCCGCGAGGCAGGGCGGGCCGGCGCTGGCCGGCCTGGAGATCTCTGCGGCCAGGCTCTCCTGGAGGCGGCACGCCTCCTGGGCGGGACGTCGGCCGCTGGCCGGCGCAGCCCCGGGGCCTCCGGCGGGCCGATGGTTTCGCACGCCGAGGGCGCCTGAAGTCAAATGTGATAGCAGGGATGCGCAGTGAGGACGCAAGCCCGCTGGACGTCCATGTCGAAGCTTGTCGAGCAGGGCTGGCCATCGAGAGTGGTTCAGGATGGACCGAAGAGGCAAGGATGAGAGGGCCCCTTTGGGAAACTCACCCGTCCTCATCATCGGTTCAGAATGTACACAGGGCCATCCTGGGCCATGGCAGGGTGCGCGTATTCAGACCCCTCGCGTCGTGAAAAGAGCACGGGAGGAGGCGCTTGGACGCTTTCGGCCTCTGGGGGCCTTAGCCGGGCCCCAGGACCGTCAAAATCAACTCGGGATGAAAAACCAGTCTCGGGGAGGGGTTCAGAAGTCCAGGAAGCCACGTTGCTACAAAATCACGACACCCGGGGTCTGGGTACACCACCACCAACACCATCGTGCCTGACCAGGGCCATCCTGGGCCCTGACACGGTGTATCCGCCCCCGTGCCCGATGGCTGATCGAGGCGTGCCAATGGAAACGACAACCCCTCCAGGGGGGGGGGCGACCGCTGGGCGGCGGCACACCTGGACGGATTCTCGGTGGCGGTGGTCCGTGTTTCTCTCCCGATCAGTGCCAAGTGCATGCCGTCTGTAATCTGTCTCAAGTGAGCCACCCCCCCAAACGACTAAGACGAGGCCAGGGCGAGGATGAATGTGGGCGAGGATGAATCGGGAACCTCTGAGAGCCAGCGGCTCTGGAGGATGTCTCGGGCGCCGCGGCCTTCTCAGAGCGTTCGGGAACGCTCTGAGAGCGTTCTGGAACGCTCTGGAACGGATTTGTTCTCGTCCCAGCCCCATCCGATCGACGCGCTCCCGTGCGTGAACCAGCCCCCTTCTCCCAAGGCTCCCTTGGCGGCCTGGTGCCCCCTCTGGGCTCTCCAGGGCAACCCACGGCCCCTAGAACGGCCGAGGAAGGCCACCCAGGCCGCCAAGCCGGCCCAGCACTGCCTCGAGACGCACCAAGGCGCCCCCAAGAAGCACCCAGAATAGGCCCCAAGAGGCCTGCAGCAGGCCCCAAGACACTCCAAGACGCTCTCCGAGAGGCCATCGAGAGGCCCAAAACATTGCATGCCCTGAAGTTGCCTATGTTTTTGCTTCCCACGCTCTTCCGTCCAAGATCGGTCCACGTGCGGTCTTCGAAGGCCCCAAAGGCCCCACTGAGAGCCCCAAGAAGGCCCCGAGACGGCCTCGCGACGGCCCCAAGAGAGCCGCCAAGACGGCCCCGCGACGGCCCCACGAGAGCCCCAAGCTGGCCCGAGAGGGCCCCTGGAGGGACCCATGACGGCCCCAGAAACCCCCAGACGGCCCAAGAAGGCCTCAAGACTGCCCCACGACGGCCCCCAGAGATTCCCTCCAGACGGCCAGGAGAGCCCCAGACCGACTCAAGACAAGAGGGCCCCAGAACGAAACGTTTTTTACCGCGGGGATCGCCCGAGGCACCGACCGGTCGATTTCAATGCCCAGAGCACATGCAGGAAGAGTGCGCCTCCGGGCAAACAAACTGCGCTGCACTTCAGCATTCCCGAAACAGAATGGGAAATCGGCAGAGAGAGCCGCGAGACTCCACTGCAAACAGAAAATAATCGAACATCGATCCTCCTCCCTCTTCCTCCTCCTCTTCTCCTCCTCACGAACGGACACCGAGCTCTCCATGGTGAGATCGTCGGCTCTTTCGGTGGCCCTTTCCATGACGGTCAGCTTCTCTGGGATGATCATCCTCTTCACGGGCAACCTGCTCCTCTCGGGTCACCTTGTCATGACGATCATCCTGGCAATGATGGCCCTGTTTGCCTGCCTGACTTGGATTGCCGGCATGGAGTTCGGGCTGGCCGGTCCAGATCAGCACGTGCGGCGTCGGGGGGAACGGGGCTGCCCGCACACCCACCCTCACACCATGGGGGAGGGTGCGAAGTCCCTGTGTGCAGGACAGGGTGGGCAAGGAGGGACAACATAGGATCCCAAGGCCTGGTCAGCATACGCCTGACCGACACGAGGGGAGGAACCATAGGCCTTCCCCACAATTTTGCATCAGACCCAAAATGAATTATTGTATGCATTCTCCAGGGTTCCCCCCTTCTCCTCCTCCTCCTTTTCATCCTCCTCCTTACCCTCGTGATCATCACCATCATCATCACCACCACAAGCATCAACGACAACATCATCATCATCATCATCATCAGCAGCAGCAGCAGCATCATCAGCATCACCATCACCACCACCACCACCATCACCATCACCATCACCATCATCATGAACATCACCACCACCACCACCACCACCACCATCATCATCATCATCATCATCATCATCATCATCATCATCATCATCATCATCATCATCATTATCATCATCGTCATCGTCATCGTCATCAGCATCATCATCAGCATCATCAGCAGCAGCATCAGCAGCATCATCATCAGCATCATCAGCATCATCAATAGCAGCATCATCATCAACAACAACATCATCGGCATCGGCATCATCATCTTCAGAATCACCACCACCACCATGATGATGATCATCATCATCGTCATAATCATCCTCATCATCATCGTCATCATCATCATCATCATCATCATCATCATCATCCTAATCATCGTCATCATCATCAACAGTGGCTGCAGCAGCAACACCATCAGCATCATCAGCATCAGCATCATCAGCATCGTCATCATCATCATCATCATCATCATCATCATCATCATCACCATCCTCATCATCATCATCATCATCATCATCATCATCATCATCATCATATTCGTAATCATCATCATAATCAGCAGCAGCATTAGCAGCATCATCATCAGTATCATAACCATCATCACCATCACCGTCATCGTCAGCAACGACATCATAACCATCAGCATCATCATCATCATTAGAATCACAATCGTCATCATCATCAGCAGCATCATCAGCAGTAGCGTCACCTTCATCATCATCATCATCACCATCATCATCATCATCATCGTCATCATCACAATCATCCTCGTCGTCGTCATCATCATCAGCATCGTCATCAGCGTCAGCATCAGCATTAGCATCAGCATCGTCATCACCATCCTCATCATTATCACCATTAGCATTATCATCAGCATCAGCATCACCATCCGCGTCATCATCACCACTAGCATCATCATTAGCATCATCAGCATCATCACCAGAATCATCATCCTCAGCATCATCATCATCATCAGCAGAAGCATCAGCATCATCATTATCACCACCATCATCACCACCATCATCATCATCATCATCAGCATCATCATCACCATCATCATCAGCATCATCGTTCGCGCTCGCCACGAGCACGCCAGCAGAGCGACAGTGTTGCAACATGGGCCAGCGGAAAGAGCGAGGCGGTTGCATTCGGCGGGCCCAGCGGGCCCTCGCCGTGTTAAGCTTCGAGGGAAGATGCTGAGACGAATGTGACATGAAGGATGCTGAGAAACATGCATAAAGACATACTAAGAACGACCTCGCGCATTCCGCCGGCCTCAACATGGCCGACTTGAGTTATTCCCCTCTGGAGGGCACGTACAAATACATATAAAACGTGCTCCCAGCGCTAGGCCCAGGCGCGTGACAGCTCCTGGGACACGTAAAACCATGACTGAGATGCGCCCTCAGGGCTGCGAAAGCTTTGTTTCGGCGAACCCCTCACGCATCCCCTCTCTGACATTATTCTGGCACGCGTAAAAATACAAGTGAACAACGCCTTCATGGCTACGACACTACATGTCGGCACACCTCTAACGCATCTCCTGCTCCACACTCTACTGGGACACGTGAAAATACTAGTGATCTGCGCTCCGAGGGCCACGAAGGGCTCAATTCTATACACACCTCACACATGTACTGCCCCACACTCTACTGGGACACACCTAAATACGATTGCTATGCGCTCTCAGGCCCCTGGGACGCGTAAAATTAGCCTGGCGAAGGACCCAACCATATGCAGTTGTGAGTGCCGCACTTGTGATTACCGTCTTCGGTGGAAGTCCCTGTGGGGCCACGAACCTTTCGAGGGGTGCGCCGGCATGAGGGCGGAACTGCATGCGAACGCTGCTACTCGGGCCTTCGGTGGAGCTCACTATGGGGCCACGAACCCTGTGAGAGGTGCGCCGAAATCAGGGTGGAACTGCATGCGAACGCTGCCACTGTGGCCTGCGGTAGAGCTCCCTGTGGGGCCACGAACCCTGTGAGGGGTGCGCCGACATCAGGGTGGCACTGCATGCGAACGCTGCCACTGGGGCCTTCGATGGAGCTCCCTATGGGGCCACGAACCCTGTGAGGGGTGCGCCGAAATGAGGGTGGGACTGCATGCGAACGCTGCCACTGGGGCCTTCGGTGGAGCTCCCTATGGGGCCACGAACCCTGTGACGGGTGCGCCGAAATGAGGATGGAACTGCATGCGAACGCTGCCACTCGGGCCTTCGGTAGAGCTCCCTGTGGGGCCACGAACCCTGTGAGGGGTGCGCCGAAATCAGGGTGGAACTGCATGCGAACGCTGCCACTGGGGCCTTCGATGGAGCTCCCTATGGGGCCACGAACCCTGTGAGAGGTGCGCGCCGAAATGAGGGTGGGACTGCATGCGAACGCTGCCACCGGGGCCTTCGGAGGAGCTCCCTGTGGGGCCACGAACCCTGTGAGGGGGCGCCGAAATGAGGGTGGGACTACATGCGAACGCTGCCACTGGGGCCTTCGGTGGAGCTCCCTATGGGGCCACGAACCCTGTGAGGGGTGCGCCGACATGAGGGTGGAACTGCATGCGAACGCTGCCACTGGAGGAGCTCCCTATGGGGCCACGAACCCTGTGAGGGGTGCGCCGAAATGAGGGTGGGACTGCATGCGAATGCTGCCACTGGGGCCTTCGGTGGAGCTCCCTATGGGGCCACGAACCCTGTGAGGGGTGCGCCGAAATGAGGGTGGAACTGCATGCGAACGCTGCCACTCGGGCCTTCGGTGGAGCTCGATATGGGGCCACGAACCCTGTGACGGGTGCGCCGAAATGAGGGTGGAACTGCATGCGAACGCTGCCACTGGGGCCTTCGGTGGAGCACCCTATTGGGCCACGAACCCTGTGAGTGGAACTGCATGCGAACGCTGCCACTGGGGCCTTCGGTGGAGCTCCCTATGGGGCCACGAACACTGCGAGGGGTGTGCCGAAATGAGGGTGGAACTGCATGCGAACGCTGCCACTGGGGCCTTAGGTGAGGCTCCCTATGGGGCCACGAAACGTGTGAGGGGTGTACCGAAACAGAGACATGCGGAGAGCAAAGGCAAGGAGAGGGAAGAGAAGGAGGAGGAGGAGGAGGAAGGAGGGAGGAGAACGCGGGAACCGTCTCTTCAAAACGAGGACCCATCACCACAGGATGGTTGGGAACAACAACAAAAAATAGGTTTGGGCCTCGAGGCTCCTGGGAGACGAAAAAATGCTAGTGAATTGCCCTTCCATTGTGATGGAAACCTCGTTTCGGCAACGCACTTCGTCAATGTTGGGCGCTCAGCTGGCCCCCGAGACGGCTCCTTAGAGCCTCAATGAGGCACACCCCTCACGCACGTCACGCTCCATGAACCTCAAAAGGCCCTTAGCTGGCCTCCAAGACCACCTAATCCCCCAAGGGCACAAATACGCCCCAAAGAAACATGGCAACGATTTGTACCGACCCTCGTCGAGGCAGCATCCCTTACACCCACTTGTTGCAAAGTCTGCGTGCAAGCTTCCCCCTGGGGGCGCGCCGTGACTCCCGCTCTGCGGCCTCAATAAACGGGAGATCGGCAGAGAGAGAGCTGCGAAACCTGCAGCGCAGCCAGAGCATAGACCTGCAGGGAGGAGGAGGGAGGAGGAGGAGGCGAAGGAGAAGGAGGAGGAGGAGGAGGAGGAGGAGGAGGAGGAGGAGGGGGAGGAGGAGGAGGAGGAGGAGGAGGGAGAGCTGTGAACTGGGACCTCGACCGACCCCCTGCAGCGCAGCCAGAGCATCCCCGGCACAACCTGCATGTCAGACGCAGGGCGCCTGGGAGGCCGCAGCCTTCGAGCAGAGTGCACGGCTCGGCCCTCGTAGAGACCGCAGCGCCCGCGCCCGTCCGACGGGGCGCCCAGATGCTCTCACGCTGCAGGAGAAGGTTATGAGGAAATCCTGGAGGCTTCGCGCGGCAGCTTGAGAATTTTGCATGCGCTCGCTCCTGGACCTGTTTCCTGGCAGCTGCAGCCCGCACCACCTCTCGCTTCCAGTCCGCTTAGGTGCTGCTTAGGCCTCCGGTTTGCCGGCGCGTTAGGCAATTAGGTTCGCGCGTAGCCCGCCCGTCCTGTTTGACGCCGCCTGCGCCTTCACTTGCGGCTGCGACCAAAAAGCAGCAGCTTGAGACCCAACTTACGTCGGATCCACGTCGGACTTGCGTCGGGGTCACGTCGGATTTACGTCGGATGTGCGTCGGACTTACGCCGGATCATCGCCGAGCGACCGGCGGCCAATGTCTTACGGAGCGGAGCGGTTGACTAGATGATAGAATATATGCGCGCCGCGCGAGGCCTCCAGGACTTTCCCCACACCAAAAAAATCTCTGGGCCCGATGTGCCAAAGTACAGGTTGGTTAAAGCTCACGTCTTCTGGAGCCCGAGCCCCCCCCTAATCCTGGCCCCTGGGATCTTGTTTATTTTTCCCACGGCGAGAAGGCAGGGGAGAAGGAGGAATCCGGTGCCCCTCAAGAGGGCTATCCCAGACGCGCATCCCAAGCCAAATTTACGGCAGGGTGGTGAAAGAACCTGGAAAAGGAAAAGCCCCCGGCTCGGGGGACCCCCTGGAGGCCAGTTGTGAGACCCTGGGTTTCTCAAAAAAGTGCCCAGGACGAAGAAGCGGTCCTGGGGGACGAGAAAAGCAGTCCAGGGGCCCGCATCATAAACAAAGGCGTCGGACGTATGAGAAGAAGAGGACGACGCAGGAGGAAGAGGAGGCTGAAGGAGGAGGACGATGGAGGAGGGGGAGGAGGAGGAGGAAGAGAAGGAGGCTGGAGTAGGAGGACGATGGAGGAGGCTGGAGGAGGCTCGACGAGGAGGGGGAGGAGGAGGACGACGACGACGATGGAGGAGGCTGGAAATGGAGGAGGGGGGAGCAGCTGCAGCGGGACCCTTAAAGGGGCCGAGATTCCTGGGAGATTCCTGGCAGCCACAGCGTGGCAGATGAAGTGGGGGAGGGGATGACTACGAGAGGAGCAGGGGAAGGAGGAGGAGGAGGACGAGGAGGAGGAGGAGGATAGAAGAGGATAAGATAGGACCAATGACGATGTCAGATCAAGAGTAAACTCCACGTGCTTGCGAGCGACTGCCCCTGACCCGAACACGGGAGAAAGAGCGCCTCCGAGAGGAGAGGGGACGAGGACGAGGAGAATCAGAGTAGACCCAGGATGCAACAACGATGCTGCAGCTCACCCTCCCGCCCCAAGTCCCCCAATGCACGCTCCTGTTCCAGGTCTCCTCTTCACAAGGCCCTACTGCACGGTTTCCCCTGGGGCCGTAGGCGACCCGAGGAGGAGGAGGAGGAGGTGGAGGAGGAGAAGGAGGAGGAGGAGGAGGAGGAGACCGAGGAGGAGGAGGAGGAGGAGGAGGAGGAGATAGGAGGAGGAGGAGGAGGAGGAGGAGGAGGAGGAGGAGGAGGAGGAGGGGAAGGGAGGAGGAAGGAGGAGGAGGAGGAGGAGGAGGAGGAGGAGAGGAGGAGGAGGAGGGAGAGAGGAGGAGGAGGAGGAGGAGGAGGAGGAGGAGGAGGAGGAGGAGGAGAGGAGGAGGAGAGGAGGAGGAGGAGGAGGAGGAGGAGGAGGGAGGAGGAGAGAGGAGGAGGGAGGGAGGAGGAGGAGGAGGAGGAGGAGGAGGAGGAGGAGGAGGAGGAGGAGGAGGAGGGGTCGCCTAAGCCCTTCGGGGAGACCCTCCAACAGAGATCCCTTTTCAACTGCGGGCAGCGCCCCCCTTTCATGACGAGCGCCCAGTGGGCCTGCCGCTCAGCCCAAGACCCCTTTTTTTGTTCCGAGCCCACACACCTCGTGGTTCTCACTCGGGCGGGACCCCGCCTTGTGCAGGAGCTGCCCTCCAGCCCAAGACCCCTTTTTTTGTTCCGAGCCCACACACCTCGTGGTTCTCACTCGGGCGGGACCCCGCCTTGTGCAGGAGCTGCCCTCCAGATCCCTTCCCAGAAGACACGCGGGGAGGCAGGACGAGAAAGTTCCAAGGCAGTGTCAGCGATAGTCGCGTTGAGACCAGAATCGGTCCCCAGACCTCTTCTGAGCTGAGCTCTGGCCAGAGCATCGAGGCGAGTCCAGCCGTGACCACGAGGGCGCCCCCCGAGGCCCAGAGTGGCCAAAAGGCCTCGAACCTCGATCCTCGACCGACGGCGACGACGAAACTCTCCTGGTCCCTCGAGGTGGCCTCGCTCAGCTGGAGCGCGTGGTCCCTGCGCGTCTGCTCGCGTTCCAGCCGGAGCTCCTGGCTGGGGGGGCGAGGGGCGCGCGCGGAGTGCGGGCGCTGCGTCGGCCAGCCGCGCCTAGGAGGGAGGACACACCAACAATCCCAACAGCAACTAACAACAACAACAACAACAACAACAACAACAACAACAACAACAACAACAACAACAATCACTTTACCCGAACGCTCAGTGTTCTCACCAGTGCCAGGGTTTTCATGCGACGCCAGCCAATACCCCCACTTTGTGGGGGGGCAGTGCAAGCTCTACCAAATATCCACACGACTCTTCGCCACCACCCACACCCAGCTTCCCGCCCTATGACGTTCGGACACTTCACTTCGTGGCCTGCGGACGACCGTGGCTACTACACTGGCGTGGAGTACACACCCACAGAAGTTGTTAGGACAGCGCGCGCGGGTAGAAATTTTGAAAAGTCGTGCAGGTGTTTTTCGAGGACCTACGGTGCGATTCGTGTGATTTTATGATGCGCGGTGCTAAAATTCTTAAGAAGCCCAATGGTTTTTGGAGATTTCGGCGTGCGCGCGCGAAGAAAAAACGAATGTGTCCCGCATGGTATTATTTGACAGGGATGATGGCCCTGGCAGGTGCGCAACCGTTGTCGCAGAAGTTCGAAAAAGTTGCTCGCAAAAGCCCGTTTGACAGAAATGTTTAAAAAGTGTTGGGTTTCCTACGAATCCGCAAGAGCGCGCGGGATGAGATTTTGACATTTTTTTGTTGAAAAACCATTGGTTTTTTGATGTTTTTATGTTAAAATCGCTCCGAACACTAAGCTTTTGGAAGGATTTCGTCTTGCGCGCGCGAATGTCCACTTTACCTTATTTTTTGCAAGGGATTCTTGAAATTTGATTATATTAGAACAAGAAATGTCATTTTATAGTGTTTTTTGCAAGGGAAAACGGATTACAACAAAACAACCGGATCTTGATGACATCGTATTACCTGAGGCTTCCTCACGAAAATGATGAAAATGTAGCTGCGGCCTAGGCGGCGCAGGGGGGCCGTGCACCAGGGGCCCCAACAACAATTATTCTTTAGAATTAATAATGTTCAACAACAACAAAAACAAAAACAACAACAACAACAACAACAACAACAACAACAACAACAACAACAACAACAACAACAACAACAAGGCATAAACACACACTGGCGCACTGGGAGCCAGTGTGCCAGCTCCCGGTTTCGGCTCCGGTGGCGAAAACCCTCACTGGTGCACTGTTGCCGACCCCCCCCCCAGCAACACGGCAACAGAGCAACACACCCCGACAAACAAAAAAAAAAGAGGTTCAACCCTTACGGTCGTCGCAATGTTCCCAACAGGTACATCCAAAGACGTTCCGTGGAGCCGAGCTTCCGCAGCGATCTTCGCTTATACCTGTTCGGAATACTGCGACAACCGTAAGGATGATATTCTCGAAGTAGGAGTCCCCGTTACAGTCCTACTAGGAGTCCTCATAGGAGTCCTACTAGTCCTACTAGGAATCCTCATAGGAATCCTAATAGTCTTACTAAGAATCCTCGTAGGAGTCCTACTAGTCCTACTGGGAATCCTCGTAGAAGTCCTACTAGTCCTACTAGGAATCCTCATAGGAGTCCTACTAGTCCTACTAAGAATCCTCGTAGGAGTCCTACTAGTCCTACTAAGAACCCTCATAGGAATCCGAGTAGTCCTACTAAGAATCCTCGTAGGAGTCCTACTAGTCCTACTAAGAATCCTCATAGGAGTCCTAGTAGTCCCACTAAGAATCCTCGTAGGAGTCCTACTAGTCCTACTAAGAATCCTCATAGGAGTCCTAGTAGTCCTACTGAGAATCCTCGTAGGAGTCCGAGTAGTCCTACTAAGAATCCTCGTAGGAGTCCTACTAGTCCTACTAAGAATCCTCGTAGGAGTCTTAGTAGTCCTACTAGAAATCCTCGTAGGAGTCCTAGTAGTGCTACTAGGAATCCTCGTAGGAGTCCTAGTAGTCCTACTAGGAATCCTCGTAGGAGTCGTAGGAGTCCGAGTAGTCCTACTAGGAATCCTCGTAGGAGTCCTAGTAGTCCTACGAGGAATCCTCGTAGGAGTCCTAGTAGTCCTACTAAGAGTCCTCGTAGGAGTCCTAGTAGTCCTACTAAGAATCCTCGTAGGACTCCCAGTAGTCCAACTAGGAATCCTCGTAGGAATCCTTGTAGGAGTCCTCGTAGGAGTCCTACCAAGAGACCTCCGAACTGCCTCAAACACGCCGCCGACAGACATCCCACGATATCCCAACGGTCATCATCATCATCACCACCATCATCATCATCATCATCATCGTCGTCGTCATCGTCATCGCCATCATCATCACCATTCGCATCATCATCATCAGCATCTTCCTCATCATCGTCATCATCGTCATCATCCTCGCCATCATCACCATCATCAGCATCTTCCTCATCATCGTCATCCTCGACATCATCATCAACGTCATCGTCATCGTCATCATCGTCCTCACCACCATCACCATCATCATCATCACCATCACCATCACCATCATCGTCATCATCATCATCACCTTCCTCACCATCTTCCTCACCATCCTCATCATCATCACCATCCTCATCATCCTCAGCGGGGCAGGCCGCAGGCAGCTGGATAAACCTCTACTCACCCTCCTCCTCCTCCTCCTACTACTACTCTCGTCCCTCCTCCTCATCATCGCCATCATCATCCGCATATTTGTCCACATCATCATCATCGTCACCATCATCGTCACCATCATCGTCATCATCATCCACACCCACGTCATCCTCCTGATCATCATCCTTATCATGATCATAATCCTCATCTTCATCATCATCATCATCATCATCATCGTCATCAGCATCATCATCACCATCCTCGTCCACTTCATCATCATCGTCATCATCATCACCAGCCACATCCACGTCGTCATCATCATCATCATCGTCATCATCACCACCATCATCATCATCAGCGTCATCGTCGTCGTCATCGTCATCGTCATCACCATCACCACTATCATCATTATAGGCATCGTCATCGTCATCGTCATCACCCTCATCATCATCACCATCGGCATCGTCATCGTCATCGTCATCGTCGTCATCATCAGCATCACCACCACCACCATCATCATCATCGTCATCGTCATCGCCATCGTCACCGTCGCCGTCATCATCATCATCATCATCATCATCATCATCATCATCATCATCATCATCATCATCATCCTGATCATCATCATCATCATCATCATCATCATCATCATCGTCATCATCATTATCATGTTGCGCACCCCTCGCGAGTACGGCCTCCTTTGCCCCCTCGAACGAGCGGTGCCCAGCATCATGGCCTGGCACGGTGGCGGGACTTGCCGCAGACAGCTGGTATAAACAAGCGCCCCCTCCCACAAGCTCCTTATTAATAAGCACCCCCATCCCAGGCGACCAGCGAAAAGGGTGGGCGCGAATCGACAATCCGAGCCTTCCGCCCGAAGAGGCCCCCAGGAAGGCACCAAGAGGCCTGCAAGAAGCCCCAAGAGGCCCCCAGGAGACCCCTAAAGAGGCCCCTAGACGGCTACCAAGAGACCTCCGGACTGCCTCAAACACGCCGCCGACAGACATCCCACGATATCCCAACGGTCATCATCATCATCACCACCATCATCATCATCGTCATCGTCGTCGTCATCGTCATCGTCATCATCATCACCATTCGCATCATCATCATCATCATCAGCATCTTCCTCATCATCGTCATCATCGTCATCATCATCATCCTCGCCATCATCACCATCATCAGCATCTTCCTCATCATCGTCATCCTCGACATCATCATCATCGTCATCGTCATCGTCATCATCGTCCTCACCACCATCACCATCATCATCATCATCACCATCACCATCATCGTCGTCGTCACCATCATCATCATCACCACCACCACCACCACCACCATCATCATCATCATCATCATCATCATCATCATCATCATCATCATCATCATCATCATCATTATCGTCGTCGGCGGCCTCGTCCTCATCCTCCTCCGCCACGCGTCCCGCCAATGTCCCTCTACCTCCCTGCCCCTCCCACCGGGCGGGCACGCCAGGCGGCGCGCGGGGGTGGAGCGACGACACCGATGACGACGACGACGACGACGACGACGGCGGCGGCGACGACGACGGCCATCCTCGCCCCAAGCCTCAGCCACCCTGTCCTCGTCCTCCACATCATCGTCCTCCGCATCGTCGTCTTCGTCATCCTCGTCCTCCTCAACCGCATCGTCATCCTCCTCCTCCTCGTCAGGAGGCCCAAGACGCGTTCCAGGAGGCCCAAAACGCTCGCCAGGAAGCCCAAGACGCTCTCCAGGAGGCCCCAGAGGCTCCCCAGGAGGCCTCAGAGGCGCTCCAGGAGGCGCCAGAGGCGTTCCAGGAAGCCCAAAACGCTCTCCAGGAGGCCCCAGAGTCGCTCCAGGAGGCCCAAGACGCGCTCCAGGAGGCCACAGAGGCGCTCCAGGAGGCCCAAGACGCGCTCAAGGAGGCCCAAGACGCTCTCCATGAAGCCCGAGACACTCGCCAGGAGGTCCCACAGGCTCCCCAGGAGGCCCTAGAGGCGCTCCAGGAGGCGGTAGAGGCCCTCCAGTGCCTCCAGGAAGCCCAAAACGCTCTCGAGGTTCTCCTGTGTTGCTCTGTTGCTGTTGCTGGGAGGGGGGGGGGTCGGCCGGGCGCCAGTGAGTGTTTTCGTCAACAACAACAACAACAACAACAACAACAACAACAACAACAACCACAACCACAACCACAACAACAACAACAACAACAACAACAACAACAACAACAACAACAACAACAACAACATCAGCAGCAAAAAAACAACAGCAACAACAAGAACAACAACAACAACAACAACAACAACCATTTTAAGGCTGTACGCTCTTACTTGCCCGCGAGTCATTCAACACGTATACCCTACACCCTCGATACCCGCCCTCTTCGTCTTCGATCACACCCCT